TCAAAGTACTGTATAATGGGCAATGTATATGTGTTAATTCCTGGGAAGAAGTGTTTTGGGAGGATGGAAGTGTTAGCAACCAGCTAATAAACAAATGTAAATGTAATGTAAGCACTGTGTTTACCAACAATCACATTTTCTGTTTGCCACAACCAAAAAGCTCAGCTTTGCCCAGTGGAGGGAGAAGCTATGTAAAAACCCACGAAGCTGTAGAAACCGCTTTAGATAAGGAAAAGGCTAAGCGTAAGGGGATTGTCATTAAAGACATCTGGGGATGGCAAATTGGAGACAAGGTAATGTTGCAAAAGTGGGTGAGTCTGTACCCGATTGTAAATCGCATTTCCCCGGTAGTGTACCAGCTTCAGCTACCACGCAAATTGAAATGGGCGCATGCCAATCAGCTCAAAACATATGTTTCTCCCTAGATTTCTGGTCATCGCATCGTGGGCCTCCGTTGTGGACCAGCCACCTGCCTGGACTATCTGGGTTTCTCTCTCTCCATGGGATTTTGAGAAGGGAGAATACCTCCAAAGGCTCTCCCTGACTCGAGCTGCTGATGGGGCCCAAGCCACAGTGTGGCGCAAGGCTGGAGGGGAGGTACCTTGGAGACAGTGCATGGTCCAGATAAACACAGTAGAGCCACAGCAAAATACCAGGTGGGTGGCCCCGGACCTCCCCTGGATCCCATTGGGACAAACCTGGTTCCTCCTGTGGGGGGCCTGGAGTGGAAGTGGAATGGGAAGCCCTTTTGGCAAGCAATAGCAATTATTGATTTTGGGGTGTAATATTGTTGCTGTAACCACTAAACCAAGCAAACATCGTCCATGACGAAAGCCAGGAAGGGCTGTAATGGGACAACTAATAATTTAGAGAGTTTTTGTATGCGTCTCTAAAACCCTCGAGAGCTGGAGCACTTCAGAGAGCACAGCAGATTCTCGGACGCCCTGGGCCCAGGACAGCACTTCCGTCCATCCCTCCCGCCCCCTTCTTCTTGCATTACACCCAAGCCTGGCCAGCTTTGGGGTAGTGGGTGTGTGAGTATGAAAGTAGGTTAGGACTTGGGGCTCTAATGCTTTCTAATGCGAGATAGATGCCCTCATTCTCCACCAAAACTGTGACAGATTTTCATTACCAAGCTGCCTGGAGCGACATTTGTTCCTGGTGCTTTGTGTGCCAGTTCAAACAGGCTTTCTGTGGTCTCCTCGACTTTCCCCAAAACACACTGGCTAAACTCTGTTGTTCTCTTTGTTTTCCTCTGTGCTGGCCTTCGCTTCGTTTTGTTGATACAGACTAACACGGCTACCCCTCTGAAACCCATCTACAGGCAGACAGTGGAGGAGATGTTCAGGACTAGGGGAGTGGGGGGGGGGGGGGGCGAGAATAGGGGTCACGTTGCAAAGAGTAACCCAGGCTGGTGGAAGCCAGAGTGAAGCTGTTGCACTGTAAGCATACTGCTTGTAGCAGGGCTCTGAGCCAAAGCAGCACAGCAGACACCCAGGGTTACAGGGCAGGCAGTGACAACCCTCCCTGATGTGGGTGGAATGCCAAAGCATCACAATAGGTCATTGGAGACTGCACCAAATCTTTCCATGAAACCTTCCCGTCGTCCCTTTCCCACCAGACCCTCCCCGCTCACTAGAGCAACCATTTCCCAACCATTTCCTGTTCCAACTACCCCAGAGTTCCCCCAGCCCTCCATAACCTGGACTGCCTATCCAATCGTGCCCCACCAACAGCACCACAGCTCCACCCCCTTTTCCTAATTCCAAATCTCCCATTCCCCCAGCCCACCCCATGACCATTTCCCAGGAACTGCAGTCCCAGTCTCCCCTTTTCCTCACCCAACCCTCCTTGATTCTCTCTAATCCTCCCCAAACCCCTCACTTCCTCCCACTACTCTCACCCTCCCTGCACCAGCTCCCTATCGTCTCCCCTCCCACTGCTCTCTGCCTTATCTCCTCCCAAGGACTCCTAAATAGGAACTTCGCATTGTCTCTTTCAACAGATGAGCCCACCTGACTGTCACAGGCTCAACACACTTGGGAAGTTATTATAGTAACGTGCCAGCTCTGCTATAGTTAAGGTTCAACATTTCTTTCTGTTTGCTCTAAACTGCACATGCCTACTCAGATTGTCTAGAATTGTGTTGCTTATGACGGAGAAGGGAAGAGTTAGTTATGCTCCAGTAAGGCCTACCTCAATTACAAACAGTGAACCAAAGGCTGGGAACCAGAGCAGGCCTGGCCTTGGCAAAATAACACTAGGTATTGGCTGACCAAGCAAGCACATTCCTGACCAGAGAGGATGGTAGAAGAACACCCCGAGTTCCCAAGTAACCACATAAACACATTCTTGAGAGATGGTGCAAGGACACACCAACCCCCTTGTAAGATAAGGATGGGATGACAGGATAATGGATGAGGATGTTTGGTTCCAACTAGCAGGTACCAGGTGTAGGTCTGGTAACTAACCATGTCAGGAATGTGATACGTAACTGTTTCTATCAATGTATAAAAGGAGACGTTCATAGGAGGGGCACCTTTGGCCAGCCTAGGGGGCAGTGTCCTGGCGCACTGACTGAGCTAGTACAATTGTCACAGGCATACATAGGTTAGTGTTCCTGTAGTTCCTTCACCACTGAACCGACCCTGTGGTCTTATGAATAAGATAGAGTTCTGCTGAATGAACATGCTGCACTGTCTGCTACTGCAGCTAACACTGAAGCTCCAAGAACAGTACTTGCGCTCCAGCAGCAACCACACACAAATGTGGGGTTATTTGATCAAGAAGTTCCTGAGATACACCCCTATCCCCAAAAGCAGCTTTTTACAAACTCACCATGCTCTTATAACATTTCCTTGCACCCACATGGGGCTCAAACTGCGGTTCTCATTGTCCCCCAACTGATCTCAGGCACTTGGTCTTTATCTCAGCTAGCACTGCCTCTTTGGGCAAGCAGTATTGAAAAAGTTTAATAACTAGAGTTTGGAATTTTAGATCAGCATGAGCCAAACTGTAAAGTCAAAGAGACTGAAATGCACATGGACACCAAGACTAAGGCTCTGTTAAGAGCCAGAGTGTTTCCAACAATCAGCTGTCACAATAATTGTTTGGCTAGAGGGGGCATGCTGTGGCCACTGAAAATAAGCTACACCCATGCATTTGAGTATGAGCCCTACCAGAGATATTTTGAAGACATGTATTGCACATCTTTCTTGGGTTCTGCCCTGATACCAACATTTCTGGGTTAAGAACAATATTTCAAAGTGCACTAAAATCCACATGCCAAATTTGGCCTGGTCTGCATGCAAAAGATTTGCCAGCATAGTTCTGTTGGTTATGGGAGGGGGAAAAAAAAAAAATCACATCCCCAGCCAACATAGCTATGGCAACAAAAGCTCTGTGTAGACACAGTTATAGTGGCAAAAAAAAATCCATTAAAATAAATCAAGGAAATTAAAAGCCCATATGCAAAGTTAAGGTTGTTCAGTGCTGTCTCATGCCCTTCCAGAATGTGGATGGTGGCTAAACTTAAACCTCTGAAAACCACGTCACCCCTGTAATGCAACTTTAACTCTGCCCCCACCCCTAAGCCTAAAGCAGTGGTCCCCCAACCGTTTATGTGGGGCGGGCGCTGGACGACTAGAAGCCGAGGACCATGGCCGTCGGTTAAGCAGTCGCCGAAATGCCACCGTGAAGTGGCAACGTCAAGAGACGTTGCCGCCGTTGATGGCATTTCGGCAGTAGCACTTCTTGACATTGCCGCTTCTCAGCAGCTACTTTTTCGGTAGCCAGTAGGCAGGCACCATAGCGCCCGCGGGCACCACGTTGGGGACTCCTGGCCTAGAGCTTCAATAGCCACGGAGAATAGTTCAGGAAAGGTGGTACAAATCTTAATAAACTACAGAGGGAAGTAGAGGACCCTTTGTCTCTTGAAGTCTTCAGACCAAGACTGGCTGCCTTTCAGGAAGATGATTTAATCAAACACAAGGTATTCAGCAATACAATAGCAACTGGATGAAATTCTGTGGTCTGTGTTACACAGGAGGTCAGACTAGATGACCTAATAAGGACCCTCCTGTCCTTTATATATATATATATGAGAGAGAGAGAGAGAGAGATATACCTATCTCATAGAACTGGAAGGGACCTCAAAAGGTCATCAAGTCCATCCAGCCCCCTGCCTTCACTAGCAGGACCAAGTACTGATTTTGCCCCAGATCCCTAAGTGGCCCCCTCAAGGATTGAACTCACACCCCTGGGTTTAGCAGGCCAATGCTCAAACCACTGAGCTATCTCTCCCCCCAAAATCTATCAATCTACAATAGATACAAGGAAGGACTGGGAGAACATATTATCTGTGTTGTGCTCCACAGAGTTGAACACCAGTATTTATCTGCATGCATTCCAGCTGTGTGCACTGTTTCAGCTGTAGCTGTAATTAAAAGAGGGATTAGTTGGATCCCTTGGCAGAGCTGTGACTGATATGAAGAGAGGTGCATGTGACTCTTGACATACCAAGTTTGCCTCATTTCAGTGCTGACTATTGTAGGTTGTGTCAGTAAAGGCACACAAGCTATGTTCTTGCCATGGTGATTGTCAGCAGTCTGGTACCATACATGTTAACTGTCATCAGGGCTTAGTGAGGAGTAAGTGAAGGCAATGACTCAGAAGGAATCCTGAGTGCAAGGGCAAAGGGGTGGTAACATTTTGCTAGTTTGAGATGCTTTGTGTGCAGTAGGCTCAGTGTTTAACTGAGGTAGGTAGCTTCTGTCTGCTACAATGAAAATGAACCCAAGTTTTCCCTTAGCAAAGAGAAGATGTTAGACTTTGTGCTATCCTGTCATGTGCTCTGTTCCCAAAGTGTTTTGTAGCTGGGAGGGCAGAGCGTTAGCATGTGTGTTACTGGCACGTTGCTGAAACAGAGCAGAGCTGAGGTTGCACTGTAGGGGTAACTCTTCATTTCCCCTTCTAATAACCAAGGGGACAGGAATCCTTACCCATCGACGTCACGTTCTCATAATTCTCCTGCATGACGTCTCTGTAGAGGGCTCTCTGAGCAGGGTCCAGCAGAGCCCACTCCTCCTTGGTGAAATACACAGCCACCTCCTCGAAGGTCACCAGCCCCTGAAAGAGCAAGAACCCCCCACTCAGTACCTGCTGCCCCAGAGACAGCCCCCTAGTCACGGGGGGGGGGGGGGGTGGAGCAGGGCCAGGAAAATGGAAGCTCTGGGAGGTACAGTCACTATAGTCCCCACCCCCAGGAGGTATCAGGGTGAGGAGAGAAAGAGAGAGCCCCTTGTTCCTCCCAGCAGACAGAGAGGGCAGGGTCTTCACATTCATCACACACCTACTAGCCAGAGCATACAGGAGATGGATCCTGCTGGGGGCTCTAAGGACAGCCTCATGGTACGAATCCCAACATCCTCCCCATTTCCCACAGCTGGATATGAGGGGATGGGGCATCTCCTCTTAGCCTCACTGGTGGGTGCCAACTTCATATCTCCTAACAGCCTATGGCTGGTAGGTTCATGCTCCAGCACTGGAAATCTGGTAAGTTTTCCCAGCCCTGTCCAGGGGGGTTGTTTCCTGTTCCACAAAAGAGGTAATTTCCATCTCTGGCCCCCATGGGTCTGTTTCTAGAATATAGGCCCAAGGTAAACTAGTCCCAGCAGGTTTGTCACACCTTGTTCCTGTTCCTTTCTAGACCAAACCCCCAAGAAGTTCCCACCTCCTAAATATTTACTGTCCCTCTTCCTCCCGTATCTCCCTGAAAATCCCTACCTGGACTGGCTCGTCAGCAGCCATTTCTTTTCCGTGTTCCATGGGAGGATGAGACGATCTGGAGGAAAACGTGGATGTTATTCTGCAGCCTGTCAGGGAAAGAAGGGCAGCTAGGGAGATTCCAGAACTGCCTTTAGCCAATTTCACATCAAGTTCCCCTCAATTCCCCCAGGCTCTTTCCATGTAGACAAATGTTCTAGACTCTGCCATGCACGGGTGACTTTTGACAGTCTCATGTAACATTCTCAGAAGAAAACCAGGAAAATGTGAAATTACTATAAGGTGGGTGCATAACTAGTTGAAAGACTGTATTCAAAGAGTTATTATCAATGGTTCGCTGCCAAATTAGAAGGTCATATCTAGTGGGTCCCACAGGCATCTGTCCTGTGTGGCACTATTCAATATTTTCATTAAAGACTTAGATAAAGGAGTGGCGAGTATGATTATAAAATTTGTGGATGACACCAAGCTGGGAGGGGGTTGCAAGCAATTCAGAGGATGGGATTAGAATTCAAAATGACCTTTACAAATTAGAGAATTTGTTTGAAATCAACAACATGAATTTCAGTAAAGCCCCATGCAAAGTACTACTTTTAGGAAGGAAAAATTGGGTAATAACTGGCTATATAGTATCATAGAATATCAGGGTTGGCAGGGACCTCAGGAGGTCATCTAGTGCAACCCCCTGCTCAAAGCAGGACCAATCCCCAACTAAGTCATCCCAGCCAGGGCTTTGTCAAGCCAGGCCTTAAAAACCTCTAAGGAAGGAGATTCCACCACCTCCCTAAAGGTAACCCATTCCAGTGCTTCACCACCCTCCTAGTGAAAAAGTTTTTCCTAATATCCAACCTAAACCTCCCCCATTGCAACTTGAGACCATTACTCTTTGTTCTGTCATCTGCTACCACTGAGAACAGTCTAGAGCCATCCTCTTTGGAACCCCTTTTCAGGTAGTTGAAAGCAGCTATCAAATCCCCCCTCATTCTCCTCTTCTGGAGACTAAATAATCCCAGTTCCCTCAGCCTCTCCTCGTAACTCATGTGCTCCAGCCCCCTAATCATTTTTGTTGCCCTCCGCTGGACTTTTCCCAATTTTTCCACATCCTCCTTGAAGTGTGGGGCCCAAAACTGGACCCAGTACTCCAGATGAGGCCTCACCAATGCCGAATAGAGGGGAATGATCATGTCCCTCGATCTGCTGGCAATGCTCCTACTTATACAGCCCAAAATGCCGTTAGCCTTCTTGGCAACAAGGGCACACTACTGAGGAGGGAGGGATAGCTCAGTGGTTTGAGCATTGGCCTGCTAACTCCAGAGTTGTGAGTTCAATCCTTGAGGGGGCCATATGGGGAACTGGGGTAAAAATCTGTCTGGGGATTGGTCCTGCTTTGAGCAGGGGGTTGAACTAGATGACCTCCTGAGGTCCCTTCCAACCCTGATATTCTATGACTCATATCCAGCTTTTCGTCCACTGTAACCCCTAGGTCCTTTTCTGCAGAACTGCTGTCTAGCCACTCGGACCCTAGTCTGTAGCAGTGCATGGGATTCTTCTGTCCTAAGTGCAGGACTCCGCACTTGTTCAACAAGGACAATATTAGATTTCTTTTGGCCCAATCCTCTAATTTGTCTAAGTCTCTCTGTATCCTATCCTTACCCTCCAGCAGATCTACCACTCCTCCCAGTTTAGTGTCATCTGCAAACTTGCTGAGGGTGCAATCCATGCCATCTTCCAGATTATTAATGAAGATATTGAACAAGAACGGCCCCAGGACCAACCCCTGGGGCACTCCGCTTGATACCGGCGGTCAACTAGACATGGAGCCATTGATCACTACCTGTTGAGCCCAATGGTCTAGCCAGCTTCCTATCCACCTTATAGTCCATTCATCCAGCCCATACTACTTTAACTTGCTTATGGAGCAGCCTTTCCTTCTTTATCAAAAACCAGAGCTTTCTGGTGAGAGCAGCTTATGGAATCACCTCCCCACAGGGAGGATGTGGATCTCATTTGCCCCTATTTTAATCTGGAGTCACTCCTTGTGCTTCCTTGCCATGACTCCAGATTAATATTGGTCTCAATGAGACCAGGAGCAAAGCTCAGAAGGGAGGAGGCCAGACCCCTTTTAGGCAGATCACTGCATGGGGCCTGTGGAGGGCTAGCTATAGCACCCTGGTCTCTCAGATAATTGCCTCACAAAAGAAAATTACTGGCTTAACCAGAGACAATTAACCTGTTATAGTGAGATCATTGGCTAACGAGGCGATTAGCACAATAAGGGGAAGACTATATAATTGGGAGGGACAGGATGTACCAGGAAGCTCAGTGAGAGTGGGGTGTAATAGAGTGGGCTGGGTGGAAGGTTCCTCCTGGCACATGCCTGTACTATATTCTGCAGTGCTGGGAATATAAAGTTTCAAGATGTACATGGGGAAAAAGGAACAGCCCGTGTGTATATTGGAAGAGACAATGCAAATGGGTTGGGCAGTGCAGCACAGCGAGTAGCTGTGACACCGGGTAACCCCTTTCCCAACTTCCTCCCTCCCCACATCCGAGAGAAGGGCTCTGAACAACAGTTTCCATCCAAAACCAGAAGTTCTTGCAGTTTTGACGGAGGGAGAAAAGCAAAATCTGTGGTGATTTCACATTAGTGTTTGGTAAATGGATAGAAAGTTACCACCTCCCGCCCGACGGCCATTCACACAGGCAGCTAGGAGCACTGTGTGATACTTCCTTAACAGAAGGACGGCATGGAGGAGCCAACATATTTAAGACATTTCCTGGCCTGTCCCTGGAAAATAATGGCCACTGACCAACCTCAGAGATGGCTGCACCTCAGAGCTGGGGGAAGCAATCCCACATGGGGGATGGAGATACTTCTGGTCATAGAGTTAGTCAGCTCAAGCAGCTGGCTCTGGGGACAGCTACACCAGCTGCTGGTGAAGCAGCTCTGCAGCCAGCTGCTCCAGCGGCCCCACAGCCAGCCACACCAGCCACTGCTGGAGTGGCCCCGGGGCCAGCCACACCGGCCACTGCTCAGGCTCTAGCCCTGAGGACCGCCCGAGAAGCGGCCAGTGCGGCTGGCCGCAAAGACTGCCTGAGCAGCGGTCCCCAGGCAGCTGGAGTAGCCACTTCCCTGGGCAGCCCCCCAGCAGTGGTGCCCGTGCAGACGCTGCCAGCAGCGGTGCCTGGGCGGCCAGTGCAGTCGCTGCCAGCAGCCTCCAGAGGAAGTCCCCAGGCGGCTGGAGTAGCTGCTTCCCCAGGTGGCCTCCGGCGGCGGTGCCCAGGGCAGCTGCTGCCGGCGGCCACTGGCAGCTGTTGTTATGGCTGGCCCTGGCCCCCGCCAGCAACAGCCCTCTGGGGCAACCATCCCCCAGCAGCAACCCCAGCACCCCTCCACACACACCCCGCAGCAGCGACCCCCTTAAGATTTAGTCATGGGTATTTTTAGTAAAAGTCATGGACAGGTCAAAGGCCCGTGAATTTTTGTGTATTGCCCATGACCTGTCCATGACTTTTACTAAAAATACCTGTGACTAAATTGTAGCCTGATTGATAATTAGTGGAAATGGCTGACTGAGATTTGATATCAGTTTTCAGTAATTAAAGAGAAAAGGGTGGAACTCTGAGGAATTTTGGATCAATCTTCTTAAGTTAGAAAGGAAAGTAGGAGGATGTGAAGTATTTATATCTATAGTTGATAATAGGTAAAGAGGTAAAATCTGAGTGAATTTCTTATCAATATTTGATAAGAGAGAAAAGGGGAAACAGTTCCAGGGATTTTATATCAATAATCAAGAGTGAAAGGAAAGAGCAAAAACAGATTTTATGTTAACATTTTGTAATTAGAGACAGGATAATCTCAGAGCATAATACATTAGTAATAGATAACACTGGTCTATAATTTTTGAGAAGTCATCTGCTTCAGAGATAAAATGTGCTATTTATTATGTATTTTGATGTGCTGAATTCAAATATGACAATTAAAACAACTGATTGGCTACTGTTTCTAAGATATTTAAGTTTTTACATTTTATGTCTATGTATATTGTGTAGATAGAGTTTTAATCATAAATTGTAAACCTACGTCTTTTCATGTGTTTATGGTTGCTTTACATGATAATATTTCACCTGTGCTGTTTATGTAACACTTTAAAAATCAGCAATAGGAGTCATATAAAATACGCAACTAGGACAGCTTACAAAG